TTGGAGGCAAGGATTCTGGGGCTTCGTCTGACGTACTTTGGACATGTTGTAAGGAGAGACAGATCTTTGGAGAGAGGCATCATGCTGGGTAGAGTAGGGGGACAGCGCAGGAGGGGAAGACCCTCTATGAGGTGGATTGATTCAGTGACTGGGGTACTCTGTATGGGTGTGTCGGGGGCAATGAGATTGGCACAGGATAGAGCACGGCTTAGGGCTGTTGTACATAGGGTCACTGTGAGTCACAAATGACTCGACGGCACATAACAACAACAACAAAATGTGAGGGAGGGAGCTATAAACAGGAATAAGATCATAAATAAAGAGAATAGGAAATACAGGATTAGGGTTCAGAGTATATTTGGAATGTGGACATGTGTTGTTGTTGTGGTTATGTGCCATCAAGTCGCTTGCGACTCATGGTGACCCTACGTACAAGAGCCCTAAATGCCGTTCTATCCTGTGCCAACCTCGCTGTCTCAAACACACTCATTCCCACCACTCCATTCACAGAATCGATCCATCTCATTGAGGGTCTTCCTCTCCTGTGCTCTCTCCTCTCTCCCAAACATGATGTCCCTCTCCAAGGACTAGTCCCTCCTTGCAACATGCCTAGAGTACTGTCAGATGAAGCTTCAGAATCCTTGACTACAAGGAGCATTTTGGCTTCACCTTCTCCAGGACAAACCTGTGTGTTCCCCTAGCAGTCCATGGTGGACATGTAAATAGATGAAAAAATCAATGGAAATTGCAGAAGGAATCATGTTCTGAGAATACCTGTAATTTAAGTGATCTTATGTTGTAATAGAAATTCCCAAAGGAATAAGACTCCAAGGCTAGAATTAATAAAGTTTGTCTGATATGCCAGTTCTACTCCAAAAGCGGAGAACCAGGGGAGGGGAACAACATAGCTCTATCTTCCAAGGAATTTTAATGAATGATCTGAGGGAAAGTTTAGCTGCCGACACATCTGGTAGGGATCTCCAGAAACCTGACAATGAAACCTCTCAAGTATGGCCCAAGTATGAAAAGTACCAATTCTTCCCTTTCAGAAATGAGGCATGTGAACGAAATAGTCTTGCTTATTTAGTAGCAGAGGAAACCTTTAAGAACTAGTTCATCTTTCTTAAATATGAGTAAACAACCAGAGATAAACAGGAATAGGTTCAGTAATAGAGAAAAAAAAGGCCAAAATAAAGAGTATCTGTCTCCAGTGGAAATAGAATTCATGTATTATTAAAATAAAGACATTTTCAGAGGTGAAAAAAATGTACTTCTGCAAAACAAAAGGCTATTGGAAATTTTTTTCTATATTTTATTAATTTTCATAAACATTTACAGAGATTTTGGGTTTCCATTCATTCCTTGTTGCACTATTCTCTCTACCCTCCTCCCAGTTTGTTCTTGTCCAAATGCCACAGTGCTTGTCAAAGCCAGTTCTGATTAATCTTCTTTGTCAGTGTGTCCTTTGCCATTCCCTATCACTCCTCCCTGAGGCTATTGGAAATTACTGATCTTGACTGTGTCTTGTTTGTTTCTCTCATTGCATTAGATCACTCTTTGTAATCTACTTTCTGAACATATCTGTCTTCACAAAACTGTACACTCCTTAAAGGCAAAAATATAGTATATAGTACTTAATTGTTATTTTAATGTTGGTAAACTAGTGGTTCTCACTTAGCGTGTTAAAGCTGCTTTAGGGAAATCCTGTTGTTGAGGCAGATTGTAATCATGAGAAACTGAAGTTTAATGTATGTCCAAGATAGGGAGACGTAATAGAACTAGAGCAATTCTACGTAGACGTTTGTTGATTCTTAATAATGTAAAATAAAAAGAGACAGTTAAGGGTTTTCTCAGAATTGTTGATATGGAAGCACACTGTCTTTTAATGGCCTCTGTTTTGGTGACTCCAGGGACATCATGTAAAAGCACAAGCTCTTTCTGGATTGGGAAGAACTAAAGAAATGCTGAAGGAGCTTCTCTACTGTCTTGCATTAAATCCTGAATATGATACAGTGAAGGCAGATGTACAGAAGGTATGATTTCCTTTAAATGATTTTGTACTTGTTCTAGTTTATGGTCTTTATGTCCATGCTAAATAACACGTTCCCAACTTCATATTGTATGCTCTTAATGTGTAAAATAAACAAATGTAGTTCTGGTTATTTGTGATGGTGACCCAACAGAGTGAGGAGATTATCGAACATTATCTTTGATATCACATGCAAGCAAGATTCTGCTGAAGATTATCCAAAAACTATTGGAGCAGCACATCAACAGAGAACTGCCAGAAGTGCAGGCTGGGCTTAGAAGGGATCATGGTACTAGGGATATTGTAGTTAATGTTAGATGGATCTTGGATGAAAGCAGGGAGTACCAGAGGAGTGTCTGTGTTTCATTTATGCTTTGCTCTAGCAGCTTTTTCAGATACTGTAAATCATATGGTGTGAAGTTACCACCTTTCTCCCACAGAGCACTTGGTGAATTTGAACTGTGTGCATTTGGGCTTAGCAGGCACAACCTCTAGAGCTCCCATCTTGAATGTGTTTCTTTCTGGCCTGATACCACAGGTGCTGTTAGCTTTTAAATAGCAAAATTACTTAGCCTCTTACCCCCACCCCAATAAGTACTGACTAGTTTTAATAAACCGTTAAATGTTTTTTCTTACATAGTTTATTAAAACTTTTAGTTTTTACTCATTGGTTTTGTTCATCATTTCCATTTTTCAAAGTAATACTGAGGATTATTGAGTAAACTGTTTTAACCATGCCTTCCTGCCTTGTTCCTCCTGAACGTTCCATAGACGTCTTACCTCCTTTGATCCTCATCATAATGTTGTGAGTCATTCAGTCCAAACTCAGGAAGAAGAGCGTGTTGACAAAAGAGCATAGGACCTGAGTTGAGGCCGTGGGGATTTTTGTCTGATGTTTTTATAGATGTGTTGCATTTCCCTCCAGCATTCTATGGGTGATTGTCCAGTGGAACAGTATTTTCTATCAGAGATAATGCCCAGAAGAGTATTAGATTCGGGGGTAGGGTTGGGAGGGGAGAAAAGTGCAACAATGAATGAATGGAAATCCAGAGTCTCTGTAAATTTTCACTGAAATTAATAATAAATTTTAAAAAGAAATCTTGCCATAAAAAAAAACCGCAACAACCCACTAGTATTAGGTTCGTCATGTCTGTAAAACAGGGTACCATTCCTGTTAGCCACCAGTATCTGTTGAGGACACAGATAGATGTCCTTGCTGAGGGATGTTGTTGTGCATTGTTACAGAGGTCATGGATTCCAGGCAATTCAAGTTGTCTTATGAAGAACAGTGAGAGGAAATATTTTGGATTTCAATAATTTCTTTTTGCCTCCTTTAAATAGTTGGATTTTGTTACATCTCTGAGATTTGACAAGATCATCTAAGAGACAAGTACCTTGCTAATCATTGATCCTTCATCACTGTTCTTGAACCATTGTCATGTCCCTTAATTTTTCTTCTCCTTAATGTTCTTTGCAAGATACTCTGATTCTTCTTGTAATAAGGCAGTCTTCTTGTCTTCTCTGTGTCAGTTCTATGGATGATTACTTCTTAGATTCAATTTGGGAAACCCTATAAACTATACAAATGTCTCAAGAGATTTTGTCTAGCAGAAATGTAAGGACTAGACAGAAGGAAGTTGTAGTGCTCATCCTCTAGAATTGATAAGACTGGCATCAAAAGATATTTTGACCTGGGATGCTTAAAATAACTGACATTGATTTGAAAAACTTTGAATTTTAAAAGGTTAGCAAATGAAGTCATCAATTTTGAATACCTGCTTGACTTTCTAGTATTCTCAGTCTTTAAAGCACGTTATATATGTTAGCAAACACTTTTTCTTTTTCCTTCACAATTTTATAGGTGATACATGAGGTATTTTTTCCAGATTCAAGAAGTGTAAGTCAAAATTTAACCTCTCCTGTTGTATCAGACACTGGATCAATGCTTCAGTCTCATGAACATACAAATACCCAATCTTCAGAAGAATGTAGTAACCCTGGCATTTCTGAGGTATGGAGTGTATGTAGTTGTGAATGTAACCTTGAATAAGCTTTAATTCTACAGATCACTTAAACACTGTAGCATTATACTGCATAGAAGTATTTCTCAGGCCAACTTGCAAAGTCATCAGAACAAACGTTGAAAATTTTAGAGTAAGACAACAGACAATGGACTTGAACATTAAAGAATTTTTACTTTGGAATACCCAAATAATATCAGAACATCAGAAAACTTAATTATGGCCTATAGCAAACAACAGAAGTGACTTGAATACATTATTTTTTGTTATATATACATACAAATGTGTTTGTAGATGATTTTTTATATATAGACATAAATACGTATGTTTGTACACCATATATAGGTTTGTATGTATATAACTGGAACTCATCACCTCGCAGTTGGCACATACTTCCATCTGACCTCCCTGCAGCCAGTTTTAAGGGACTGTAGATCACAGAGGAGAAGATTGCCCATCTTTTTCCAATAGAGAAGCTACTAGATTTGAACTGCCTGTCTTTGAGCTGACCGTACAACTCCTTCACCACTAGGCTACCTGGGTATATAAAATAAGTTTGTCTTTTAAGTTTACCAGCTGTCTGCACAGACATATTTTCATAAGTTGCCTATACTCATTTTTATAAAACATTTTGTTAAAAAGAAAAAATCTTATAGCATGCTGCTGTAAAAACATCTGTGGTGGTGGTGATTGCTGTTGATTGCCGTCCAGTCGAGCATGACTCCCAGCCACCCTATGAACAAAAGACCTGAAGCCTTTCTATAACTATTGTCATTTCTCAAAGTTCATAGGGTTTCCAGAGGCATGTTGTTTAGGAAGTGGATGCCACTAATACATTTATGAAGATTGGCATTCAATTTTCTATGTTAATACGTAGGAGACTAAATAATTGAATTTTTTCCCCCCGTAGAGGTTGTTGTTATGTGCCATCGAGTCGTTTGCAACTCATAGCGACCCTATGCACAACAGCTCTAAACCCTGCTCTATCCTGCGCCAACCGCACCGCCTCTGACACACCCATCCCGATTACCCCAGTCACCGAATCAATCCATCTCATAGAGGGTCTTCCCCTCCTGCGCTGTCCCTCCACCCTCCCAAGCATGATGTCCCTCTCCAAGGACCCGTCCCTCCTGGCAACATGTCCAAAGTATGTCAGACGAAGCCCCAGAATCTTTGCCTCCAAGGAGTAGCTTGGTTTAATCCTCTCCAAGATGGATCTGTTTGTTTTCCTGGCAGTCCAGGGTACATTCAGTACCCTTCTCCAGCACCACAGCTCAAAAGCATCCACTCTCCTTCTGTCCTCCCTAGTCATTGTCCAACTCTCTGATGCATAACAAGCGATTGCAAATACCATGACCTGTATCAGGGGCACCTTAGTCTCCAGAGAGACACTGTTGCTCCTGAGTACTTTAGAGAGGTCCCTAACAGCAGACTTTCCCATCGCGATACGCTTTTTGATTTCCTGACTGCTGGTGCCAAGAGTGTTGACTGTGGAGCCGAGCAAACTGAAGCTGTGAACAATCTCAGTCTCTTCGTCATCCATCCTGATGCTGCTAATTGGTCCAGTGGCGAGAATCTTTGTCTTCTTGACATTGAGCCTTAGTCCATACTGAAGGCTGCAGTCCTTGACCCTTTGCAGCAAGTGCACGAGGTCCTCCTCAGTTTCAGCAAGCAGGGTTACTACTAATTTTCTCTTTAACTCATCATTTCCGTTAAATATTACTTCAGTAAACTGTGGATGAAGCTGAAACTTCATAGATCACATCTCTCATAAAAGTTACATCTGTCCTCAGGAAAAAGGGCTCTTGATGATTTAACATCAGGCTTTTAACCAAAGCACTGGCAGTTCAAATCCAGCAGCACCTCCTTGGGAGAAAGATGGGCAGTGCTTGTCCCCTTGTAAAGATTTACAGCATTGGAACAAACGATGTGGCAACAGCTTGACAGCAGTGGGGTGGAATGGGTTTTATCCTCAGGGAACCATGTCAACCTACATGTTCCCAAATGACTTGTGTTATTCATTGTTTTGATAGTTCACTCCAAAGGTCAGCCAACAAGATACAGTAAATGTGTTATACTTTTTGGCACACATGGCTATGTGAGCTACTCAGAGTTACTCAGCTCTATTATTTTAATGCAAAAGCAGCCATAGATAATACAGAAATAAATGGACCTGGCTAGTTTGCAGTAGTACTTTATAATACATATATGATTAAGATTTGATTTGCAACTGCTAGTTTGTGGATCCTGATTAGTATTAATTTCTAATGAGGACTAATATAAAGCAGGAGTACTAATATAAAGATAAAATATCTTTTAGAGCTAAATTGAAAAGACTTGGACTCTTACCCTTTAGGAATTACTTATTTACTTAATATTTATGACATATAGTTTGAGAGATTAAGAAAACATTTTGAAGAAGTCCTTTAAAGACTTCTGTAAGAAGGTCTTTGTGGTGTTTGTTGTTACGTATCGGCAAGTTGGAACTGACTCATAGCTGACCCTCCAGCTGGTTTTCAGAGAAAATAAATCACACAAGAGGAAATTGCTTATCTTTATCCTGTGAAACAGCTGGTAGATTTGAACCATGTGCCTTTGGGATGACAGTGAAATGCCTTACCACTAGGCCACCAGAGCTAGAATGTCTACATGCAGTCTTTTTTTTTTTACATTCTACTTTTTTAATTGATTTTTTTCCTTGTTTGTACATGTAGTCTTAAGTCGAAAAATTAGAAACAGCCCCTATGTCCAATAAAAGTAAATGGATCAACAGGCTATAATATATTCACGCAGTAACCTGCTAATCGGTAAAAAGGAAGAAGCTACTAATGCATGAAACAATATGGATGACTCTCCTAGCTGAGCATTATAATAAGAGAAGACACAAACAGGCCTCTTGTTTAATGTCATTAATATGACTGCAAGAGCAGGCAAAACTATTCTTTGGTGATAGGAAGTTATAGGCTGTGAGTTGTAATTCACAGGAAAGGTGGTTGAAGAAACTTGTCAGATGATAGAAATGTTTCCTGCCATGTGTGCAGTAGTAGTAGTTGTTGTTGTGTACTGTTGAGTTGGAAGGTCATAACTGACCTTCCAGTGGGTCTTCAGAGGCAGTTAATCACACGGGAAGAGAGTGCCCATCCTTCTCCCGCAGAGCAGCTGGTGGCCTCAAACCATGTGCCTTCAAGATTGCAGGACAACTTCTTGCCAGTAGGCCACCAGAGCATTTATGTATGAATCGATACATGAATATATATTGTTGGTAAAACTCTCTGAACTAAAAAATTTATATATGATGAGAAATGATTGTCTTTTTTTTCCCCCTTGACAAGGTGGAGGGTCCAGAATATGAGGAACTCACTGCTCTTCATGACACAGTGTATCAGGAGAGTGTTGCCTGGTTTGCTGCTCTTCAGGATAATGTGAAAGATCAAATTCAAAGTCATTTCGGCTTAATGCCAGACAAGGAATCTGAGCTACAGGTACACTCACACTTTTCCTCTTTGTAATGTCATTATTTCCTGCTTCAACATGCTCAGGAACATTACTCTGGTGGAGAATTGTCCAGTACTACATTTTATATACTCCATTATGACACATTTAGAACCAACTCATATTTACAAACCAAAGATCTTAATAGAGTGGCAATGTTTCATTTGAAACAAAACTCTTAAGTACTTCTAGTTAATAAGGATAATTCATTTTCTGTCCAAGTTCATTACTGCTGATGTCAGATGGATCTTTGCAAAAAAGTAGAGAGTACCAGAGGAATGTGTATATGTGTTTCATTGACTTTGCAGAGGCATTTGACTGTGGGGATCACCACAAATAGTAGCTAACCCTAATGAAAATGGGAATTTCAGAACACATGATTGTGCTTGTGTGAAAGAAACCTATACTTGGAGCAGAAAGCAGTCCTCAGAGCAGAGCAGGGAAGCACTGTATGGTTCAGAATCCAGGAGTGTGTTAGGGATGCATCCTGTCTTCATATCTTTTCAATCTATATGCAGAACAGATCATTCAGGAGGCTGGGCTTTATGAGGAGGAATGTGGCATCAGGATTGGATGAAAACTCATCAGTAGCCTATGTTATGCAGATGACACAACTTTGCTTGCTGAAACTGAAGAAGACTTGAAGTGCTTGATTGAAACCCAACATCAAGAAGACAAAGTTTGTCACCACTGGGCCATTTGGCAGCACCATGATAGATGGAGGATAAACTGAGGTTGTTAACAATTACAGCTTGCTCAGCTCCACAGTCAGCACTCTTTTAACACCAGCAGTCAGGAAATCAAAAGACAAATGGCATTGGGAAAATCTGCTGTCAGGGACTTCTTCAGTGTACTGAAAAGCAGCGATGTCAGTATAGAGACCAAAGTGTGCCTAATCCAGGCCATGGTCTTTTCAGTTCCTTGCAATGGATCAGAGACAGTGACTAAGGATGAATGACAGAAGAAGAATTGATGCCTTCAAATTGTGGTGTTGGAGAAGAGTCTTGAACATACCATGGATTGCAAAGAAGACAACTAGGTCTGTCTTGGAGAGGGTGAAACCAAATTTCTCCTTGGAAGCTAGGATTTTGAAGCTCTGTTTCACACTCTTTGGGCCTGTAGCCAGAAGAGACTGGTCCTTCGAGAAGGACACCATGCTCGGAAAGGTGGAGGGACAGCTCAGGAGAGGAAGATCTCGATAAGATGGGTTGATACAGTAACTTGGACAAAGAGGGTAGGTGTGTCAGAATTAGTGACTGGTTCAGGACAGGGCAAGGTTCAGAGCTGCTGTACATAGGACCTGTATAGGTCATGGGTGACTCGGTGGCACACAACAACACAAACATTACAAGACTGGAATAGTAACTTGAACATGTTGACATGAACATAGCTGTGTGTCGTATATGATAATGCCTTGTACACAATAAATATGTAATAAAGAAATGAAAGTTCTTAACTCTTAATAAATTGGAAGTGTTACTCCCTTGCCCTTTGTGGCACTCAGCTGTCAGGTCACCTTGAACTTCGGTGCTTTCTG